TTGATGGGGCCAACAGGACAACGTCATCTGCAAAAGGCAGAGACGAGATCCTGTGGTCCCCAAACCGGACTCCCTCCGGCCTCTGGCTGCACCTAGAAATTCTGTCCATAAAAATAATGAAAAGAACCAGTGACAAAGGGCAGCCCTGCCGGAGTCCAACATGTACCGGAAACAAGTCTGACTTACTGCCGGCAATGCAAACCAAGCTCCTGCTCCGGTCATACAGGGACCGGACAGCCCTTAGCAAAGGGCCCCGAACCCCATACTCCCGGAGCACCCCCAACAGGGCGCCGCAAGGGACATGGTCGAATGCCTTCTCCAGATCCATGAAACACATGTGGACTGGTTGGGCAAACTCCCATGAACCCTCCACCACCCTGAAGAGGGTATAGAGCTGGTCCAGTGTTCTGTCCCAATAATCAACTAAACCCCCCTGTTTTCTTTTGTTTTTAACATTTACCTCCCCCCAAATTTCTTAATTTATTTGGTTTAATTTATTTTTCTTTAATATGTACTGAATATCAGTCTGCATAGAGTTGGATACACCCACACTGCACATGTTTTCTATGTTTCCATTTTCTGTTATGTCCTTTGCCCTGTAAATGTGTTATGTCGTGTTGCAAAAAAAAAAAGGACTGGCCCATTGTGAACTGGGAAAAAAAGTTGGTTGGAGGAACTCAGGATCTTTTTGCAATATGCTGAAGGTTTCTCTCCAACATGATAACATAGCACATCACAAGAATATCATCACTACCTATCTAGCACCTTAAGAATGAATTCTTACAGCTCTCAAGGTTAAAAGGGGTCATAAGAGTTTCACTGTGATTAATTTCCATTCACCACTCCTACAGACAGTACAGCTGGTCCCCACTCCATCACTCTCACCTCTTTTGACATCTCTATTGTGCTCTTTTTGTTGCTCGCTCTCCTTTCTTTTCACAAGTGTCTGGACAGCACACAGCACCATGTTGATATTTGCCTCCAGCTCAGCAGAGAACTCAGTACAGAAGGCAGACTGGTGATCTGTTAAACAGAAAGGTAAATAACTAGAGAAGCTATAAAACCATGGTTCTTTTTGTAGTTTATATTGCTCCAACATCAGCAGAAAAACCTTCTTTAGCCCCCTTAGCTTGCCTGCATGTCTGTCCGCAGGAATTATC